GAGGTTGAGGAGAGAAAGACATCACACTGATCGTGGCCCTCATAAAGAAAAGGAAAGCCACTTTATATGGTAAAAGGGAAAAGTAATTAAAGGTTGATATCATTTAGTCAGAAGACTTAAAGCAAAAATATGAAGCAAGCAATTTAAAGGAAAAACAGAGATAGAATAGAGCATAACTATGCTTTGCTTACCCACTGTGTGTCTCGATTGCCTCAATTTGCCGTAAAGCAATCCACAACCAAAATGTGATCATGTGCCCAGGAACAATTGCTGGCCCAAGAAATGATGGAATCCCAAGAATCAAAACCTCAGCCCAATGTGCATATGGTGCAGCAAACCCAATGGGAGCAGTGTATTCATGGTGAACATGGTGAATTTTTTCATAGCCCCACTTTCCGTGAAGGAATCTGTGAATCCAGTAATTTGTGTAATCCTCTATCATGAAATACACCACCAACTGTGCAAGAATTTCCCATATAGATGGAAGAGGCAATCCCGTTCGAACACCGATTATCTATTAACCAAGATATGCAACATGTAAGAGAAAAAAAAAAAAAGGCCTTTTACATGATGCTTCAGATTCAGAATGTAAACAGCAGATGATTGTGAACCAACTTAGTTGAAAAATACATTCTAAAGAATTTCAAAACATAAAACACAACCCAAGTTTATATGATTAGTAAGAGAGAATTCTTCATAATCTAAATTTGTAGAGATTCCTCCTGAAATTGAAGAACACTATGCTATCTATCCATTCTACGATTCTTCCAAAAATGCTTGTGAAAATCTCTCAAATCTTACACCTTGTAAGAAATTAGAGCTTTGCAATTAATGATGAGGATTTGAAAGGATTTGGACTTCAATTTCACCGTCTTTGAAAATTTTCTTTGGATTCCAAACTTGAACAATGCCACACAAAAATCCCACCTTTAACATTGAGCAAATTACATAAACAACTACAGAGAAAAACCCAATAAATTAAATTCAACAAATATTGATGAGATTTTTACCTTGATCGAAGGATAAGAGACCAACTGCAAAGGACCAACAACGAGAAAAAACATTCGCATGACATCCTTGTAACAGCGGAACATGTCGGATAGCGAAGTGTGGACCTTGGGCTGAATCTTGTACTTCTCGAACCCCACAGATCGCATCATCTCCACAAGCACAAGCGGCAGAGGAACCACCGAGAAAACAACAAACAGGAACAGGATGTTGTGGCAGTACAAGACGTAATCTGATTTCCTGGCTGAGTAATTGAACCACAGCGTCTCCGCCAAGGTCAGGTTCCTGCCAAGAAACGCAGACGCTTCGTCGATGGTGCTGAAAGGCAGCATTTTGTGAGTAGATCGTTCACCGGAGACTGGAGTGGGGGCGACTGGGGTCGAGATGGGTGATGGAGGAGGAGCTAAGATTGGTGAAGTGATCAAGTGTATTAAATTAGTTACTTAAACTAATCTTCACAAACCATTATTGATGCAGCTTCTAGCTGGTCTCGAGAAACAAACAAATTAAGAGGAATCGCTGACCCGTGCAAGCATGGACGATCTAGTCTAAGCTCACTTCATATCTATATATATGTAGGCTGAATATCATTGGTGGTTACCAAAGTTTTTCAAAATCAACATTTTGATCACTCAATTCATAATTTAATTCTA